TCCTTCAAACATTTTGAACATATCTTACTACTACCTCACCTGGTCAGTGTGTGCTGAGGATCTACTCCCACACCTACCTGGGTGTGACAAGTGGCTGTATACTATATATAACTCCAGCACAAAAGTCACTAGTCACTAATACATGTAAGATATGAGAGGACATCAAACACATTTGCATCAAGTAGAACACAAGGTAAGAGAAATCTTTATGGAGTTTTTGTGAAGTTACACTTGTAAATCTCTGTCCAGACACAAAAAGTGCTACATATACAACAGCAGTGATTACATCTTAAATCAACACAGACTTTCTGCTCAACAGTCTCAGAGTTTGGTATGAAAATTGATCAGATTTGTTTTTCTCAGAAAAATATATATTGAAAAGTATTTTATGTATGAATGTAAAATTTCACACCAATCATTATATACATGTTTAAAAAAGTTGAAGATGCTTGAGCAGATTTTTTTGTAAAGATTTGATGATATGAGATGGAATGACCCTACAGTCAATCTGTGGTTAGACCTGGGAAAAACTGCTTGGACATAATGATTCCAGGTTTTAGAAGATTCCAGGGGCTTGTAAAAGTACAATACATAAAATATATTTAGTGGATGAAGATAACTTTAGGGGTCAGAATTACAAGTTTGATGTAGAAGTATTTATCTCCACGTCTGCTTTATTTTCTAAAACACTTACTACATGCCAAATTTTAATTAACCCTTTAAACCAGGGGTCCCCAATCCCAGTCCATGAGGGCCGGTGTCCCTGCAGGTTTTAGATGTGTCCTTGATATAACACAGCTGTCTTGAAGTTCCTCAACATGTCTTGAAGTTCTCCAGAGGCCTGGTAATGAACTAATCATGTGATTCAGGTGTGTTGACTCAGGGTGAGATCTAAAACCTGCAGGGACACCGGCCCTCGAGGCCTGGAGTTGCCTACCCCTGGTTTAAAAGCTAAATTAGGTCAGCGTTTAAAGGGTTAAAACCAGTAATTGGAGATTATGTATCGTAATTTCAGGAGCAGGACCAAACCTCCAAACACGCTCCTCTATATACAGTTGTGGTCAAAAGTTTACATACACTTGTAAAGAATATAATATAATGGCTCTACCGAGCGTCCCGTTATTTCTAAAACTCTGATTTTTCTCTGATAGAGCGATTGGAACAAATACTACTTTGTCACAAAAAACATTCATGAAGTTTGGTTCTTTAATGACTTTATTATGGGTTAACAGAAAAAAGTGATCACATCTGCTGGGTCAAAAATATACATACAGCAACATGAATTAGCAATTTTGGTGACTTAGAAAGTTGTCAGTGAACTGAGCTTCATAGCATGGCCTCTTAACTGCTTGTGAGTGATTATGAGCGACGACAGCTGGTGACTTCTCTCAGGCCAGTTAAATAGGGCTCATTGGATACAAACGCCCACAAACGCCACAATGGGAAAGTCAAAGGAGCTCAGCATGGATCTGAAAAAGCGAATTATTGACTTGAACAAGTCAGGAAAGTCACTTGGGGCCTCATTTCAAAGCAGCTGCATGTCCCAAGAGCAACAGTGCAAACAATTGTTTGTAAGTATAAAGTGCATGGCACTGTTTCGTTGGTTTCGGGCTTGTGGTGGGGGGCCGTTATTTTTTTTTTTATGCTTATAGTTATGCATGCTGGCTTGTTCCCTTAGATTTGGTCATCCAACATGGCATTTAGAATGATTTGTTATTGTTATTATTTGTTGATTTGGGTGTAGTGATGTTATCGATATTATGTGCATCGTGTATATTGTGGTCACTGGGCTGTTTTTTTAATTTGTTCAGCGAAAGAATTCGCGAAGCTAAGGTCTATCTTTCGTGCTGCTGTGAGAAGAGAGTAAGATGGGTGGTTGGGTTCGTAGGTAGGGGCGTAAAGAGGTAAACCTAAGAATGGACTCATTAAGAGGCAGGATCTTTTCCTTATTAGTTGATTATTTTGTGAGCTGGTGTGAACAAGCAGGGTGTCCCATTGTCCGTTGGATCTGGTTAGTCAAACGTGTTTTGCGTCTCGTCATTTGGGACTGTGAGGGTATGTGGAGCTGCCTTGTGCAGGAGGTGGAGTTTGAAGCCGGCTGGCTTACCGAGAAGCGGCAATGCGCGTGTGGAACACAGGTGTCATTGTCCACAGTCAAACGTGTTTTGCAT